ATATATATATATATATATGTTAAAAACTGGTATTAAAAACATGCAGAATCCTATGGAAAACCAATAAAAACTTTGAAACCCAACTGCACATGCATACATATCACTATGAAAGGGTAATCATAATGTAATGCTCAATCACAAAAGTATGTCATCTGCCCCTTTTAAAAAATTGCCCGAGGGTGCCCCCCTGTCTCAAGTATGCCTTGCCATGGCATAACCCTGACACACCTTGGACCAGTGACACCCCTGATATGGAAGCATGTGGTCCAGCATAGTAAAAACTTGCATGCATCCCTACTTTAGCTCCAGAATTGTCCTCAGCTTTAAAATGCTTGATGAAGTGTTAAATCCTTTATCCACAACTAAGAAAAAAGTTTTAGCTGTAGTGAGCCCCTAACCCTCTAAACTGCGGGTGGCTTCTTTCCTACGTGTGTGTATTCCAGAGGTGCGTGTGCTGTGCTGTGATTTGCCATTACCAAATCCATTCTCCTATCCAAATAGCCTACAGTCACTCCTACGCAGTGTCACCGGCTCACCTCCATAACACCCAGTCATGTCTTTAGCCTAAATTAGAAGCATGTGCTTGATGCCGGAGAGGGGTCCAACGCCTCTGCTCCTCATCTGACCATAACCTTTCTCCCAACTCGAGCATGTTAGGGGCACACATGCAATTAATAGTCACAATCCCCTCTGACGTCCGCCTTGGGCATTCTCTGTCCACTCTGCTAGCTCCAGCAAAGGCAGAGAGAAGTTCTGAGATGTACATAGGACGCACAGAGACCAAAACTATGCAGCTAGGAAGCGTATTTAAAGTGACTCTATCACAAGACGTTACAAAGAGTCCACAATCACTGAGCACCATCAGCTATTTGCTAAGGTCAAACTACAGAGCACTGTAAAGCTAACATACTGTTATTACATTTGATCGTAGCTTTCGGATATCTTTGTTCATAACTGGGAACATTGCCATACGTGTTCTTTTATTTAACGATTTAATGTAAAAAAAAAAAAAATCACCCCACTAACTAAAAGAGAGACACTGCAGAGTACGATCACAAAAGAGATGTTTTACCTTCTCTGATTGACATTCCAGTCAAACGGATGAAAAACATCACCACAAACTGCAAATGTTTGACCAGATTAATACAAAAGTGCAATATATAACAGCATGCGGGTGTACTGAAGGACAGGGAAACCATTATTCTAGGCCAGAGCTAAAAGAATCCCAAGAGCCTTGCAGATGATATGCCTAAAAAAACTCACATCTGGCAAGTCTAATTTCTTGAAGCCTTTCCTTCCAGAATCATACATGGCACGGCTATTTAGAATGAAATCTACCTTTAGGTTTACAAACTCTGTAAGTGCCCTCATAGTAGGCACCACAAAGTGTCAGACAATACCTTCAACATGACTGCCCCAGAGTCCTTTGGAAAAAAAACAACCTTTAGGAAATGGAGGCAAGTCCTCCATACATGATTGCTCCTTCAGTGCTTGAGCAATATATCTCCAGTCATGAGCACATTGGGAGGAAGTGGGGAGGGGGTCATGCCTAAACCAATGCAAACACTGACTTTTAGAAAGCTGATGTTTGCATTGGATCTTCTGATCTGTTTAGCGAAACCTCAATTTGCATAAAAGGTACCTTGTGGCACATCATTGTATTATGGAAGAGCAAAGCTTTCATATTATGTTGGCTTCAGTCCCTTTAACAATAGTTTGTAATAGATCTGAAAAACAAAAGCAATGTTGAAAGCCTTCAGATACTTTACATTGGAAGTAAGATATAAATAGGAACAAATGTAAGCCCTCAGGGGCAGGGCCCTCCTTACCATCTTGTCTTGAATTGTATTGCGATTGTAATGTCTTCCTTATATTGTAAAGAGCTGTGCAAACTGTTGGCGCTTTATAAATCCTGTATAATAATAATAATAATAAATAGGGATGCACCAATACTAGTATCGGTGCTGATACTGAGTATTTGGACGAGCACTCGTACTCGCCCAAATGCTCCGATGCCTAGCCCGATACTTCCTGCATCAGGAAGCCGGGCAGCGCATCATTATACGCTGCACAGCTTCCTGATTGGTAGGGAAGCTAGCCAATCAGGAAGCTGGGTGACACGTCATTACACGGCGCCCGGCTTTCATGATTGGCCAGCAAGCCGGCTCCATGCTTTCTCGTTACATAGTGGCGAATCTTCACATGCTGCCCGGCTTCCTGAATGGGACTTCCGGTATTCGGTATCGGCGAGTACCAAAAAAAATTATCGGTAATCGTACTCTGTACCGAAATACTGGTATCGGTGCATCCCTAATAATAAATGTAGAGAGTCAAGGTGTTGTAACAGTGGCTTCCAGTGGAGGAATACCTGACACCTATCCCAGCATAAAAGAGAGGCAATGGTGTAGCGTGCAGGAATAGTCATATTAATATATTGGGATTTGATAGATATCTGTGCATTGGAGGGTCCCATCAGTTCCCTCTACTGGTCTCCATAGCACCCTTGGTAGCCCCCAGGCCCACGGCGTACAATGTACAATAGCTGCCTGTAGCTTCCATTCTGCCACATTGCTCAGGGAATAATAGTCTGTTCCCCTCTGACCAGGCGTGCTTGCTGGTGCCAGAGCTCTAACTTCCAATCTAGAAGTCAGTATTGGCATACTGAATGGAGGTTTGGGCAGACACTGTTGGCTTCCTGCTTTCAGATCCCAATATTTGTTTAATATGTTGAGTAAGAAACAACAGGTTTATGCAGAATACTAATATCTGCAGGTGTATAGTCCTACAATGGCTGATGCAATTGTTATAGCCTCTGTATGTACTAACCTCACGCTCCGCCGCTTAGTATGTTGGCGCTATATAAATAATAACAACAGTGACTGAGCATAAGCACAAACCATTTAGGGGCAGCTATTCCCCAGCTGATCAGATCCACTGACTGCGCTGGGCATTTGGCACAGACGCTCCTCTATCTGATGCCCACATTGATGGGACACAGAAGCGTGAAGAGAAACGTAATGAATATGACAACTCTAATAAGAGTCTTGTCTGGACAAGTCCTCCCCCAGGACTGCAGCTGACATGCCACTGGTGCCTCACATTTCTTTACTTATTGGCAGAAACTTCTCTATTCCGCTGACGCCTGGGCATCTTTTGCTGTCAGTGACAACAGGTAATTATTATGCCTGAATGTAATGTACAGCATTGATATGCACTGCCAGAAAAAGAATTGTTAAATAATAAGTGAGATGAAAATAAAAGCTGTTCTGTTTCATTTCATACTTCATCAATTCAAATCCAGCGGCCCTAGATGGTTCTATACAGCACATGCCTTCAGTGCAGCTATAGAAGGATGAGCACATAGAAATGCTGGGAAGAAGAAATGCTACTGTTCTTTCCTAGTTTTATAGGACGGAAAGGGAAATATCACCATCCCTTTAACAATGCATGCTTCACTACAGACAGGTACCTCTTAGCTAGCCCAGGAAGCATGCCCACGCATAGTTTCTGGTACCTTATTTTATATGACTCCTTACTAGGGATGTGTGTAGGCTTATTGAATTCACCCAAGTCTGTGTAAAGCCGTCAGTGACACACCACGCTCAGTAGGGTTATGACTCGGTGCCCAGCTTCCTGATAGGTCGAGAAGCTGGTCAATCGGGATGTTCACCTGGTGGAGGTTGGAGCCGGCTTCCCGGCCAATCAGGAAGCCAGGCGCAGTGTAATGACTTGCTGCCCGGCTTCCTGATTGGTCGAGAAGCTGGCCAATCAGGAAGCCAATCGGCGAGTCATTACCCGCCCCCCGGCCTCCTAATTGGCCACAAAGCCGGCTCCATACTTCCTCGTCACCTGGTGGCGAGGGAGCATGGAGACAGCTTCCATGCTAATCCGGAAGCCGGGTGGCAAGTCTTTACATGCCGCCCAGCTTCCTGGGTGAGTCATTACACGCCACCTGGCTTCCTTAATGGGACTTCCGGTATCGGTATTGGCGAGAACTGATGAAAAAAAAAAATCGGTACTCAATACCGAAAAAACAGTATCTGTGCATACTTCATCTCAATGATTGATATACATTAAGTCCTGAGCCAAATCCTAAAGTTATTTGTCTGGTAGATGAGTTGGAAGTTTTTGGGTTTATTTCTCCTTGCTAATCAATTTTTGGATTTGTTTTCTAGCCGCTGTCGACTATTTGGCTAAAAATGTCAGCCTGTCCACACAGCGCCGTATGAAGCTCGGCGAACACTCAGCTGTTTTGGGCCTGTTACCTGTCGAGACTGGACAAGCGTACTGAAGAGCTCCCGCGATCGTGACCCGTGCCAGAGGGCTGTTTTGTTCACCTCCCACTAAACATTTGTGCCCATTCACTGCTCTCATATCCTCTGGGACCAATCAATAAATGCCGATACTCTGCACTCAACCTTGCAATGCTCGCAGCCAGACACGTGCTGGCGTCTGATCCTCAGAGTGCACCGCGCCATGACTCTAGAAGGTGCCAGCATGCGCAGAAGATATTAAGCCTCTTCACTGAAACGAAAGAAAACGGCCGGCGGCCGGTTTGGATTGGCGGCACGATTTGGGCTGTGAAATGGACAAAAACAAGATTGCATCAACTCTGCCATTATGCCAACCCAGAATGTGGAACATTTAAATGGCAGATCTAGAAGAAAACTCCTTTTTTTTTGGTTGGTGTAACTGATAACCAGAAATTCATTCCATACTTTATGTGGTGTACGTGCAACGTTCGCATGATCAGGAATTGTGGAGCAATGACTGACTGAATAACGATTACTCGGTGGAGTGTATCCAAACGAATCCACACTTCACTACCAGGACTGAGAATTCTTTTCACAAACTTTGAGGACAAAAAAAAAAAATTTATGAATAGGAATGAATCCCAGATATGACTAAAAATATTGTAGCCGAGATTAGACGGACCAGGAAGAGGAGTTCTGTGATGACGGGCAACATAGGAAGTGCTCACTTGTCTCCATGAAAGGGCCGACGTGCCCCTATTATAGCTACTTGAAAAACGGAATTTGCCATCTTCATGGAATACTTTTAAGCATTGTTGCTAAAAGAAAATGACTGGTCTCTCTCTCTCGAGTTAAGCAAAGAAAAATAAACATCACATCTACACATTGTCTAACACACTATATGGACACAAGTTTGTAGACCATCACACCTACTTCATGGTCAAAATATATGGACATCCCACCAAACGATTGAGATCAGGTGTCCTCAGTGAAGGCTAATGCTAATTCTACACCATACAAAGACATTGTAGACAGTTGTGATCTTCCAACCTTGCGGTTTAGTGAAGACCATTTTCTGTGCCACCGTGACTGTCCCCTGTGTACAAAGCCAGCTCCATAAAGACATGGTGTGATCAGTTTGGTGGATGAACTCGAGTGTCCGCCACAGAGCCCTGACCTCAACCCAAGTGAACACCTTTGGGATGAATTGGAATCCTGATTTTGAGCCAGGTCCTCTCATCCAACATAAGCACCTGACCTTACAAATGGCCACAGATCCCCATAGACACCCTACCAAATCTTGTGGAAAGTCTTCCACACGTAGAGGCCGTCATAGCCACAAAAGGAAGGCCAACTCCACATTAATGGCCATGGGAAGGGGGCAATTCCATATTAATGGCCATGGGAAGGGGGCAATTCTATATTAATGGTCATGGGGAGGGGGCAATTCTATATTAATGGTCATGGGGAGGGGCAACTCCATATTAATGGCCATAGGAAGGGGGCTCTTCCATAACTTAATGGCTATGGGAAAGGGGCAACTCCATATTAATAGCCATGGGAAGGGGCAATTCCATATTAATGGCCATGGGAAGGGAGCAATTCCATATTAATGGCCATGCGAAGGGGACAATTCCATATTAATAGCCATGGGAATGGCAATTCCATATTAATGGCCATGGGAAGGGGCAACTCCATATTAATGGCCATGGGAAGAGGCAACTCCATATTAATGGCCATGGGAAGGGGGCAACTCCATATTAATGGCCATGGGAAGGGGGCAACTTCATATTAATGGTCATGGGAAGGGGGCAACTTCATATTAATGGTCATGGGAAGGGGGCAACTCCATATCAATGGCCATGGGAAGGGGGCAACTCCAAATTAATGCCCATGGTTTGGTTTTGGAATGGGATGTCCAACAACATCATACAGATGTAGGAATGGGATGTCCAACAAGCTCATATAGATGTAGGAATGGGATGTCCAATAAGCTCACACAGATGTAGGAATGGGATGTCCAACAAGCTCACACAGATGTAGGAATGGGATGTCCAACAAGCTCATACAGATGTAGGAATGGGATTGGACACAATTGTTGGACACAATTGATGTAGGAATGGGATTGGACACAATTGTTGGACACAAGCTCATATAGATGTAGGAATGGGATGCCCAACAAGCTCACACAGATGTAGGAATGGGATGTCCAACAAGCTCATATAGGTGTAGGAATGGGATGTCCAACAAGCTCATACAGATGTAGGAATGGGATGTCCAATAAGCTCACACAGATGTAGGAATGGGATGTCCAACAAGCTCACACAGATGTAGGAATGGGATGTCCAACAAGCTCATATAGATGTAGGAATGGGATGTCCAATAAGCTCATACAGATGTAGGTGTGATGGTTACCCACAATCGTCCGCCGGTCATATAAGATATATATAAATGTTCCTAATACATATGAGCTTCCCATTCACATAATTTCTTCACATTCCATATTAAAGCCTTTAGGACATTTCTTTGCCTTTTACAGCGATCTCCACAACCTTTGGTGTTCCTCACAGGGCATTCCGTTATATAACTCAACAGAAAAACGAACACGGTGGACCAACATTAAATAAGGACATATTATTCCATAGCACCAAAGGGTCTATAAAGAAAAGGCCTTGACACCACAGTTGAGCCATTGGTTCCAGAAATGTACATAGTATAATCATTCCGATGTCGAAGACCATGCAAAGTTTTCACAATGAAATGTATAGTAATGTCGATGTATATGAATTATGTGAAGTCTTCAGAAAATTTATATATTATGTTCCAAGAGAAAAAAAAAAGAAATATTGATATAGGGGACTGGTGGTGATTATTAGGGGGTCTGAGGGGCAGAGGCTCCACATCACGAAAATGTCTTATTTACAACGGACTCTCGTTGGTCACATGCTACGGCTTTCTATTCTCCTACACGCAGCATTGCTGGGAGGATAAGAAGAGGAGAACCTTGTGAATGACAACGACATTCTACACCCAGTTGCTTTTGATCAGAAGAGGAAGCTGTCATCACCTAACGCACACAGACCGGACACTTGATTATTATTACCTTTTTTTTTTTGATACATATATTTCTACAAAGTGGACATTTGTGGGGTGCACAGCTCCCGGACTACAGGGACCATCTGGGGTGCTTGCTTGCAGCATCCCTCCTATCTATGTATATGAAATGCTTTTAAACACCCCCCTGAATCTAATCCCACCGACCAGGTTCCCCTTAACTAGCACTAGATAGCATTCCATAAAAAAAAGTAAAAAAAGAAAAAACTGACTGTCACTTCTGTGTCTGATTCCCATGTCGCTCCGAGTGTGCGCGTTAAGTGTGTACATATATATGTATATATATGTGCATACGTATATATAATCCCACTATAATTTATTCAACTATATTAAGTAGTAGAGTAGAATGATAAACCTGTACTTGTTTTATCCTTGTCCCTGCTGAAAGACGTCTGCAACCCGCGTGAGACCTCTATGGCAGTGGAGGGGTTGACTACCTGCGCCTGTGTATGTTTCTTTGTGTACCTCAGGCATTGCTGTTATGCATTAAAAGAGATGGAACCTTGATCGGCTGCCGTGATTTCTGTGTCTGTGCGATACTCTGTGCTGATTTTCGACAAAAACTGTATGTATTCATCCCGAATTCTAGCAAACAGGGAGGGAAACCAATATTGTGAGTTGTCACCAGGACAGGAATAGAGGGAACATCTTCCCATGGGGACGCCTGCTTTGGTGACTTTGGACCAAACCAGGTTCGAACCTGAGGTCAATCGAACATGGAAGCCATATAGGTACTCCGTCCAATCAGCTGTGAGTCGGGGCATTCCCCACCTCTCAGCTGACCAAAGGGGCGGGATGTCTGTGCTGATGTAATATACCTTACTGTATATAGCCACATGGTAAATGTGATTTATCTAACAAAGCTGTCCGTGCCGGACAGCTTTGCATCGCTCTGCGCGGTTTCGTGTGCAGCGTGTCACGGGCTTTACACAGCCCCTTCTGGAGTCCGAATTTTTTAAAGAAAGATTGCTACTTGTTTCTTCAGAATGCACGGCGTCAGCTCACACAAACCAGGAGTAAGATAACTTATTCTAAATAAGTGACTGTTCTTTACAACGGGGTCCAAGGAGATTTGAAAATGACAGTCACATGACTAAAATAATGGTCCTCATCCTTGTGTTAAAGGTTTTTTCAATTCAGCCTCAAGAAGCTTGGCTTGCAACGCTTTAACCCGAGGATAAGGATCTTTATTGTAGCCATGTGACTGTCACTGACAAATCCCCCCCCTAAAACAACTGTCATTTCTTTTTCCTAAATAAGAATCCTTATCCCCATGTGTTGGCTTATACACTGAGTGGCCGGATTATTATATACACCGAGTGGCCGGATTATTATATACACTGAGTGGCTGCTGAAGTTGCTAGAGGGCCGGACCATTCTAAATAGGGAAGCGGGTTGGTTACCACGACAGTAGAAGTGATTGGGAAGATTCGGGGAAACAACGCGATGTAACAGCCTTGGAACGCGGGATGATTGTTGGCGCTCGGAGCCATGGAGCGAGTATCAGCAAAACAGCAGAATTCGTTAAATGTTCAAGAGGGGCTCATTGTTAAAGTGTTTAAAGACCGGACTGTCAGCCGAAAATCTGGGTCTGAACGTGCGAATTGTGGCCGTCAGCGACTAGTCAATGTTAGGGCAGAACGGGGGAGGGGCAAGACTGGTACAAGACCACAGAAGGGCAACAGTGCCGTGTCAGATTCCTCACCTTTCACCATCTCGTGGAGTCACCAGGCGGCCCAACCAAGTACTGATGGGGGAGGGGTCATAATAATCCGGCCACACAGTGTAGATGCTCTGTGACTGTCTGCAGTTGATATCACATACCTTGGTTTGGACCTCTGCGGGTCTGTACGCCGTCTCTGCTACCTTCTTCCTGGACACACAAGGACATGATACCATGGACACAACTTGCTGACATGTTGCACCACTTCTTGCAGTAGGTTTAGTCTTACCCCCATGGTGCGGGATATCTGGGGGGGTCACAGTGCCGCCAGATGATTAGGAAAGCCGGGTGTGGACAGGATTTTAGCTCTGCACCTGAACAGAAGAAAATACATAAAAAAAACAAAAAACAAAACATTATA